TGCCATGTTTAGAGTACTAGAGCCACATCCAAAAGGACAGACTGTTTATAAACCCAGCCTCCTGCGTCAGACTGACATGGCAACCGAAGTTCTTGTAAAAACTACGTTTACAGGACTTTACAAAAATCATTTTATTGGGGGTTCTTACAACGCTTATAACAATCCATACATGCATTGTGTCGAGCACATTTGTACATACGTTGCCATTATCCTTTTCAAAACATTTTCTTTCTACTTGAGCCCTTGGCATCAGCTCATTTTTTCTCCCCCACAAGTTCTCTCACCCTTATGAACCCTTGATAAATTATAATTTTCATATCTTACACAGTCTGCTGTCTCTCTTCACCCATGTCCCTGTTGTTCGTCACCCTGGGGGAGTGGGTTTAGATGATGATCATTGTGATCTGTTCCCCCTTTCTCCCCCCAGCTTCCCCCCAGCTTCACTACTCCCATTATTGTTCTTGAGAGGTTTATCTGTCAACATTTACAGGATTTTTAAAAAGGACTTTAAAGAACCAATATATCTAAAGAGACAAAGAGAAGTTAATTATCACACTGTTGTTCTTTTACTTGTTTTTGCTGCGTTTTTAAAGGAGGGGCTCTAACCTTAGTGTGTACTATTTTATATTAAACGCTGAATACTGACCACCTTTAGAATTGGAGGTAATTTAGGAATATATGGTTTCAATGCCTCTCATTTATTCAACTCAACAAATGTTTGTTGGCTTCCTTCTCTGTGCCTGACATATGGCAGTGGGTAACTTAAAAAAAGTATTTCTACAAAATCATAGCCTTTAAAAAAATACACCAAAAAATGAAACTACTTTTTCTCAACATACCCTCCATCTAGGTCTACACATTTCGGAAATGTGCAAAAATGTGGCATTAGAGAACCAAAATGGAAGAACATGTTCAGTACCTCTCAAGCTGTAAGAACTGAAAAAAATGCAAGCCTTGAGTGCAAATATTGAAGGATTCTATGGGAAAATATTGAATGATGAAACAATATTGGATGCAGGAAGCATCAGCAGAAGATGGAAGTAATACACAGCACCACTGTACCCCAAAGAATTGATGGCCCTTCAGCCGCTTTAAGAGGTAGCATAGGATCAAGATCTGATAGGATTGAAAGAAGAAGTCCAAGCTACACTCAAGGCATTAGTGCAAAACAAGGCTCCAGGAATTTACAGAATACCACTTAAAATGTTTCAACAAACTGATCTAGTGCTGGAAGCACTCATTCTTCCATGCTAAGAAATCTGGAAAAGCTACCAGACCAATTGACTGGAAGAGATCCAAATATGTGCCCATTCCAAGGAAAAGTAATGTAACAGAACGTAAACATTATTGAACAACACCATTAATATCACATGCAAGTAAAATTTTGCTGAAGATAATTTTAAAGTAGTTGAAGCAGTCTATCGGCAGGGACCTATCAGAAATTCACGCTCGATTGTTGACTTCAGAGGAGTCTTGGCTGAAAGCAGAGAATACCATAAAGATATTTGTGTTGTAATAATTATGCTAAGGGATTTGACTGTATCATAACAAATTATGGATAACAATGGGAAGAAGAAAAATCCCAGAACATTTCATTGTGCTTGTATGGAATTTATGCATAGACCAAGAGGCATTTGTTTGAATAGAATCAGTAAAGGTATGTGCCAAAGTTGGATTCTTTCACCCTATTTATTCAATCTGTATGCTGAGCAAATAACCTGAGAAGCCGGACTATATGCAGAACACAGCATCAGCACTGAGGGAAGGTTCATTAACGACATATGACATGCAGATGACACAGCTTACCTGGGGAAAGCCAAAAGGACTTGCAGCAATTACTGATGGTCACGGACTACAGCCTTCAATATGGATTACTACTCAAGGTAAAGAAAACAGAACTCCTTACACTAGACTGGGGACAATATCCTGATGAAAGGATCAAGTTGTCAAGGATTTTCTTTTACTTGGGTCGATCATCAACACTCCTGCAAGCAGCAGTCAAGAAACCAAAGGATGTATCCCTTTGGTCAAATCTACTGCACAATTCCTCTTTCAAGTGTTAAAAAGCACTTTGAGAACTAAGTGTGCCTGACCCAACCCAAGCTATTTTCAGTCATTCCATATGCACATGAAAACTGGATAATGAATAAGACAAGATTTGGGTAGAACTGATGTGTTTGTATTGTGGTAAAGGCAAAGAATATTGAAAGTTTCATGGATCACAAAACAAACATACAGCCAGGATGCTTCTTAGAAATGAGTATGAAATGAAAAGCCAACACCTCCCCAGGGAGACTCTCAACCAGGTCCTTCCAGCATTCCAGGAGGTACTATCTTTGTTGGTGACAGTTCATCAATGGAGGTTAATTGACGGAGCACTCTGAGGAAGCTGACAATAGTAATGAGGACGAGCTTGACCCTCCTTAATAAATTGTTTGTGGTATAGGCTAAGAAAGTGTTTATATGGAAGATTACAAAGTGAGAACTCTTATAAGTTCAAACAGAAATAAGAAAATTTTTAAGTTTACAAAGTAGTCTAAGGTTAGAGAAATAAAATAAGAAAAGTTTTTAATGTACATACAGCTAGCTCTATAGGGTATTATAGTGTACATATAGTAATTTAGTATAAATTCAGTATCTTGAACTGTACAGAACTGTGCCCAACACTGCAACTGTCCTGTAGGCTCCAGTTGTGTTAAGTACAGATTACACGTTAGCAATAGTGTGTATCTGAAGTGTATGTTATATTATGATATATACATTATTATAGAATATCAACAAAGTTAACCCATAATGTTTAACCTTACCAGATTTGAGAGTAAGTAAAAAGTATTACTAAAAGTGTTATCGAAACCTTTAGTAAGCAAAAGTATCAAAATATGAAGCTACTGCTTCTCAGCGTGGTATCCACCCAGGGCTATACACTTCTGAAGGCAGTGTTTCCATGTAGCTCTTTCCCAAAGAAACCTGCTCCTTCCACTGGAGACCATGCAAATGGCAGGTCGGGCCACCTTGAGCAACACCGACCAGTGTCTCATTAGAAAGCAATGAAAAGCCACTCAATGTTGGCTGTCATATCTCTGAAGGCTTTTAACCCTACTTGTGATTAACCCATTCATAATCACTGTTTCAGTGGCTTAAATTGTGTTCCTTTAAATGTTCTTTGGGTTTGGGGAACAAAAAGAAGTCTGAAAAAGCACTACCCGGACTGTGAGGCAGACAGGTGTCTCTTCAATTCCTGTAAGATTGCTCCCCATAGAGAATGAAGAGGTGCATTATTATAATGGGGAATAAGCCCACACACAACAGAAATGCCTTGATGCAATGTTCCCAGCCTGTTTCCTCACCAGTGCAGTCTTCAGTGTTATTAAAACTTCTTCTTAATAAGCGCATGTGATCATCCCTTGTCCTTCAAGAAAGTCTATTAAGATTACCCTTGGGAATCCCCGAAAACAACCAACAGAACAGACTGAGCTGAGCTCTCTGTTGAATTTAACTGGCCCAGCAGATTCCCTTAGAGACACATACATGAATTTTCTGGAAGCTGTATTCCCAATAGTGCCATATGGAAGCAAGCCAAATACCCATCAATAATAGAATGGATAAATCCATTGTGTTATATGCATTTAATGAAATACCTACAGCAGTGAAGGATGAACTACTGATACACTAATTGAATGCATTTGAAAGAGAGATTGTAGAGGGAAACACGTTAGACACAAAGCAATATGTGAATCCACTCATACACAATTGAAAACCAGGCGAACCTTATCCATGGTGACAGCAGAAAGGAAGGGGCTACTCTTGGGGAAAATGGACTGAGGGGGGATGAGAAAGCCTTCCGAGGGCTAGAAACGGTTTATATCTTGGTTTTGGTGGTAGTTTTACGGATATGCACAAAATCAAAAATTCATCAAGATGTGCATATAGGACTGGCATTATCGCTCACTCATTAAAAAGGCCTCTAACAAGGCAGCCTCTGAAAACTGTTGGCGGGCTGGCCTGTTTCCGATAAAGAGCTCAAGCTCGGCTTCACAGACCGTCTCTGCCACCTGCAGAGCTTGGGCAAATGTGCGTTAGTGTCTTACCCAGACAACGGGTTGAAAGTGGCAGATCTTTAGAAACTGTCTTGAAGATTGAGACAAAGCATATAAACCGCTTCAGACGGCACCTGCCTATACATTCAAAGCTTATGAAATAAGACATGGTGACCTTGTTATTCTCCCTTTCTCTTCTGTCTCATTCTTCCTCAGCACTTTCCCCCTTCCCCTGCCTTCTTTCTTCACTACGTCTTCTTTTATTAAAAATGCTGAAAGTATCTAACTTAGAAAACTCATTGAACACAATGTTAGAGTTAATAATTATTAAAACTAAGTACTCTTAGTATTTTTTTTCTCTCTTTTAAAACAATTCCACTTTCATAGATGAAAGTATTACTTCTATTTGGCTGTCAAATTAACTCAGTTCTTCCCAAATTTGTCTGAACATTTGAATCCCTTGGAGACCTTGCAAATCGTCCAAAGCCCAGGTCACGTGCTAGACCAATTAAATCACAATCTCTAGGCATCAGTAAATATTACATGCATCAGTAGTCATTGAAGCCCCTCAGCTGCTTGCAACATGAGTCCAATATGCAGAGGAATTTGAGATTACTGGATTAATGGCTTTCTGTCTTTTCCTTCCATAATGTCTCAGCTGCTTCATCATGTAGTTCTGAACTGTGACTGCACATTAGATCCTGAGATAATGTGCTCATGTCTTCCCTAAGTAAGGCTTAGATATTTCTAACATACAACCAAGATTAAGAGGTGCTCTTTTAGAGGGATTGGTGTCTTAGTAGATCCTGTGACCAAGACAACTCCAGGTAACCCCCCAGCCATTTTCCTAGAATATAAAGGACTTCCTCTTACTGTTTTTGAAACACCTGTATTTGTCTTGTTATAAATTTAATATGGCGAAGAGTGATGTAACACTAAGTTCTGTGTTTGTTTTACCCTCAGTATGGAATTGTGTTTGATGCGGGTTCTTCCCACACGACCATGTACATCTACAAGTGGTCAGCAGAAAAGGTGAATGACACGGGATTGGTGTATGAGATAGAAGCCTGTAAAGTCAAAGGTAAGATGAAAAATAAAAGGGGTGGGTTGTGGAAAGTAGTTGGGCATAAGACCATGGTGACTGGAACACAAAAGGAAAAGGATCCCAAAGGTATAGTCAAGCGACAAACACAGGGTGGCGTTGCTATTGTTGGTATTTTATTATTCTGTACAAATAATATAAAACAGCCCTTTAAGAGTAAGGAAATGTTTGGATAATTATGTAATAGTAGGTCCTGCTAATGGTGCACTTCTATATGCTGGGAACTAGGTAAACTCTGAACACGTGTTCTTATTTCAACTTAAAAAAATCTTTCTTTGAAATATGCACTCTTCCTGTTTCTTACATGAGTGACTTGAGGTTGAGAAGAGGATGCACTACTTGTTTAAGATTTCTTGTACTAATCGGGGATGGAACTGGAGTTCTAACCAAGGATTCAAACCCACATTCTTAACCAGTGCTTCTCAAACACGGACTGACCACAGCATCACTTCTTGTTGCTGCTGGTCGTGAGTGATCCAGTCAGCCTGCAACTCAGAGCGGCTCTGTAGAAGAAAGACGTGGAGCATTGCTTCCATAAGAACTGTCAAGAAAACGATGGAGTGGTTCTCTTCGGTGATACCTAGGGTGATAAGAGAATCATCCACAGGGCTTAAAGCCCTGATGCTGGGCCCCACCCTCAGAGTTTCCTGTTTGGCTTATGTAGGGTAGGACTTGCCATTTTGCATTTCCAACGAATACCCAGGTAATACCGATGCTGCTGGTCCGAGAATTACTGCTCATCAGCATGCTCTCGAATTTACTACCTGGAACACAATTTTTTTTCTGAAATCTTTGGCTCGTGTGTAGGCAGAGGAGACCAAATGATAGGCTAAGAGAATAATCATAGTCTTAGGGCTGAAACCCAACCTTAAAATTATTTGAATTTTGTTTTATAGAAAAGAAACTAAAAACCTGGAAAACTCACAACTTGGAAGTAGCAACAGAACTAGGACAAGATTATAGCTGAGTTTTGAATTGGTTTATTCTAGTTCCACTCCCTGCAGATAAATGGCATTTCTACCTCAGATATACTTAATCATAATCTATGTTTTAACAAGACCCCAGATGATTCTTACAGATCTCCCGTGTGTACATCAGAGTCACCTAGGGACCATGTTAAAATATAGATTCTGACTCTACATCTCTGAGACAGAGATAGACATTTTCAGTAGGGGATTGAACTGTAGTGAACAGGCTGAAAGCCCTACATTCTAAATTTCCTAATTGTCCTCCGGGTTACCTGCTTCTTTAGGTCTCTGCATTCCACACTGACATTTTTTTCTAGTTAGCTTTCATTTAAGGTCACAAGACAATTTGAAGTTGCTGACAGTTCAGTTCTCCCTCCCACACAACACCCCAGCATGCATCAAACATCAACACACTGCACCATCATCTTTCTGATTTTTGTCTCTTTTGGCTCAAGAACCTGCCAGTTATTTGTCAGGTGAGCTAGCCCTCAGAAGAGAACTGACACTATCTTAGTTTGTCGAGAAAGCAGTAGAGAGGAGACAGTTCCAACAGAGCATGTACCCCGGTGCCCTGAAATGTGGCCCTTTCACTCTTGAGACAATACTTTTAACGTTTCTTAAAGCCCCAAGCTCTCACTAAAGTGGCTTCTTTAAATTAATTCACTACCTTCCATTTTTAAGTGTTTTTGGTTTTGTTTTCATCTAGCAGATACAGATATATGTACTTGAGACTCACCAGCAAGGATCTGGCCTAACATGTTAGAACAAAGGGAAGCAACTCCGAGTGGCGCAGTGGGCTCAGCAGTCTTTCCGCTAACAGCCAAAATGCTTAAGCATCACATCATGAGAGCCCCTTCCGGCTAATACACGGCTTCTCAGTGGCTAATGAAGCCGCATTTTCCATTAAGATTACAACCTTGGAAACCCTATATAGGGCAACTCTCGTCTGCTCTACAAGGTCACTAATAAGTTACAAGTTACAGTAGACTCAACAGTGGGTTTGGTCTTTTTTTTCCACCCCCCCTTCTTTTGGGTAGCCATGATCACAGAAGTAGTTAAGAACATTTGCTATCTTTTTGTAGTAAAAGCCAGGATGCTTGCTGCTTATTATTCTTTTATCCTAAATGTCATCTTTTTCTCTTTATGTCTTCTAGAAACTAGTTTTGTTAATTATAGCTTTGTGGAAGAAACATCAATATGCAGCTATGTAGGGTAGTGAGGCGGCTTCAAAAAGTTTTGGGAAAATGGGATTAAAAGATAATGGAAACTATTTTTTTTTTTATACTGGAAACTTTATCTGAACTTTTTGAAGCCTGCTCGTATAAGATCCCCATTAAAATCTGAGAGAATGTGCTAAGAAGGTTATGCAATCAAGTATAAGAATCTTGCCATCTAGTGGTAAAATTATTGAAGAGTGGATTGACCCAGCCAAGGGTCTGGAAAAAAAAAAAATCCTGTCAATATTAGTTATCCTCGAAGCACAACTAGCTGATATATGAGATCACATCAAACAATTGTTTTCTTGCATGTGCTCATCAAACAGTGTTGTTTTGTTCTAACATTGGCAAGTTATAAAAGCCTTATATTTATGGAGGTATGTCCCTTCCTTTTTTTAAAAATATGGATTGCCATCTTCTTTTACACCTTTCTTTAGGTCGAGGAATCGCATCATATAGAAACTTACAAGAAATACCTGTTTACATGTCTCAATGCATGGGAAGAGCCAAGGATGTGATTCCAAGGTTCAAGCACCAAGAGACACCTGTTTACTTGGGAGCCACAGCAGGCATGAGGTTGCTCAGGTATAGCATCATGCAGAGAGCAAGACAAGTTATACAAGAGCCTTTGAAGTAATGGGACAATACCAGGTTTCCCTAATACCCTGACCCTGACCCATTCCAAGTATCTGCACCTAAGAAATAAAGTTTCAATTAAGTGAATAATAACTCCAACCTCTTAAGTATGTACAATGGTGGGATTTTAACATATCAAAAAAAAACCTTGCCCACTTCTCCCTAGGGAACTCTGAAGGGACACAAATGGGGAAAGATTTAACCTGTATTTTCTGAGAATTGGGGGCCACAGATTCAGCCATTTAGTATCTAGGAGGGAGGAGCCCCAACACACTGGCCTTGAGTTGATTTCGATTTATAGGGACCCTATATAGGGTTTCTGAGGCTGTACATCTTTACAGGAGCAGACAACCTCATCTGTCTCTCAATGATGGCTTGTGGGTTTCAACCACTGCCTTGCAGTTAGAAGCCCAATGTTTACCCAGTGGTGCCACTGGGCATCTTTAGAGGGAGGAACCAAAAACCAAACTCACTGCCATTGAATTGATTCTGACGCACAGCAACCCTACAGGAGAGTAGAACTACCCCTTTGAGTGGGAAAGCATCTGGTAGATTGGAGTGACTGACCTTGCAGTTAGCAGCCCAACACATAAGCCCATTATACCACCAGCCTCCTGAGAGAGGAGCAAAGGAGACTGATTCCAAGTGTTGTGAGAGTACAATTGGCCTTGCCCAGAATGAGAGGAGATGAAGAAAACTTACCAGAGGGGGAATCCCGAAGAACGAATATGAATAGAAGGTAGGGAAAGAGGCAGTGCAGACAGCGTGTGTTTGTTTATTCATTCATTTTTTCAGCATGTATTAAGTAACCAGTGTGTTTTTAGCACCTATGAAGGGGCTTTAACAAGTTCATGAAGAAATTCTATTCTTTTAATTCTGTTTTTCTCTGGACATTTTGAAGCCTCTCATTATGTACTAGGCTTAAGGAGCCCACATGATGCACTTAACTGTTAACTGAAAGATCAGCAGGTGGAACCTACCAATGGCTCTGTGAGAGAAAAGACATGGTGATCTGTAGAGATTACAGCCTAAGAAACCCTATGGGACAGTTCTATTCTATCAGAGAGTCCCAATGGTCCTAGTCAACTTGATAACAACATGTGTCCGGAGATTTGATGAAGTGTATCTGTAAAGACTACAGCCAATAAAACTCTATGGAGCAGAACGACTCTATAACATATGGGGTCTTCATGGACCGGGCCAAGTCTTGATGGCACAGTGATTTCAATGTTGGGCTGCTAACCCAAAGCTAGCTGGTTGGAACCCACCAGCTGCTCCATGGCACACAGAGGAAGCAGTACACTTTTACAGAGTTACCGTTTGACAAACCTATGCATTAGCTCTACTCTATCCAGAAGGTTGCTATAAATCTGGATTGACTCAAAGACAATGGGCTTGGCTTAACAACTATGTGAGAGGTCCTATTACATGCTGGGCCATAGCAGTGAACAGGAAAAAAAAAATCCCTGCCCCTTTCAAGGAATTGTGATACCAAGGTATTGTTCTTAAGTTTATAAATCGTTCCACATAGTAGAACATAGGATGCATGTCTTAAAATAATAATTACCCCAAACCCACTATCATGGAGTTGATTCTGACTCATAGTATCCCTATATTAGGTTTCTGGGATTGTGAAGCTTTATGGGAACAAACAGTGATATCTTTCTCCTAGTGGGTTTTAAACCACATAGTAGCCCAGCACTTAGCCCACAGCCCCACCAGGGTTCCTTACAATAATGATAGCAGGTACTGATTGAGCCTTTTTGGCATAGTGGTTAGGCACTGGGCTGCTAACCACAAGGTCAGCAGTTCAACAAAACCACCAGCCACTCTGCAGGAGAAAGATGAAAATTTCTACTCCTATAAAGAGTTACAGTCTCAAAAACCCAGGGAGGCAGTTCGACCTTGTCCTATAGGGTTGCTATGAGTAAGAATTGACTCGATGGCAGTGAGTTTGGTTTGGCTTTACTATGTTCTTAGCACTATACTAAACACTTAGCGAGATTGGAGTTTGTTCAATGGTTCTGTTAAGTAAACGATAGTATTAACTATCGTTAACCAGATGACAAAGCTGTGACTTGTTCCACTCAAGGTCCCTAGCTGGTTAGTAGCAGCAAGGACTCTCAGTGAGATTCTGAATAGTCAGGGTCCAACTCAAGAAGTGTCTTGTAGGCTATGCTAGGGAGTTTGGAGTTCATCTTGGAGATAGTGGAAAGCTATTAAAAGATGTTATATAACTGGTGACCAAAGGAGTAGAGTCACTGGAGAGGAGGAAAGGTCAAACTAAGTTGGTAAAATACTAAGTCACTCCAACCAGAGATTACAGAGGTCTAATACCAGGTGGATGGCAGCAGTCTCTTACTCAGAGGTATGCATATTTCATAACCCAGGCCTTGGAAAGAATTGCATCCCATCTTCACTTATGAGCACCTTGAAATACTCTTTAGGTTTCAAAGTCTCAGACAGACCCCAATATCAAGGCATTATATTATGAGGAAGATTGCTCCCCACTGTGGTATCAAGGAAAGTTGGTTATCAGTCCAATTGTTAAACAACAAAAACCCTGAGTGGAGCCGGACTCTGTAAATCAGCCAAGTGCCACCATTATTGGCTAACCTAACACTCTTCAGGTCAAAACTCGGTTACCATGGCCATGGTAATTTAAAAGTTCCCGACATTTTTTTTTTTTTTTTTTAGCCAGGGAACAGCAAAATGAAATTAGTATTTTCAGAAAACTAACCTGCCATGGTTTGGGAAGTTTAGATTTAAAGAGAGGAGCTGAAAGAGTAGGTCTGCCTGGTCTTGGCTGAAATAGGTAGGGTTAATCATTAAAACACAAAACAATAACCTCAGTCCTTCCTTTGTGTAGATTTGACAATAAAGAGTTGGTGGAGAAGATCCTGTCTTCAGTGTCAAGTCTCTTCAAATCCTACCCCTTTAATTTCCAGGGTGCCAGGATCATCTCCGACGCCGAGGAAGGTTCTTATGGTTGGATTACCATCAACTATCTGCTAGGAAGACTAAAGGAGGTGAATATCTCTTAGCACCCATGAGGGCAAAACTCCCTGGGAGGCCAATGCCATTGTTTTCTCCGGCAGTACTTGGGTCACTAGCCAGAACAGATTATGGATGAATGAGTGAATGAACAAATGAATCTCTTCCCTCATTTGTGAAAATCACTCACGGTAGAATTCTCTTACAAGAACTTCTACTGCTGGAATAGGGAAGGCCTATCTTCACTTCATGAAGCCTGCATTTTGTGATTGGCATTTGGTAGATTTTCAAAAAAGAAATTTAAAATCTATCACTAAAACTAAGAATAGCTGGTGTTTCATTATGGAGCCTGGTGGTATAGTGATGACGCATTGGACTGCGATCCACAGGTTGAGTAGTTCAAAGCCACCAGCAGCTCTGAGGTAGAAAGACTTGGCTCTCTATTCTGGGAAACAGTTACAATCTTAGAAGCCCACAGGGACCGCTAGCAGTCAGCACGGACTCGATGGCAGTGACTCATTAGTGCCCTATGTCCTGTGCTGTGTTAAGCAGTTCACATACTGTCTGATCTGATTTCATTCCCAGAAAAACCTTATGAATTGTTGTTACTCCCATTGAGAGCATTTTTAATCTCTCTAAGGTCACACAGCAAATGAGTGATTGAATATGTGATTTGAACCTAAGTCTGTCTGGCCATCGTGCTCTTGTTTAGAAAGACTCGCATATACTCTTTTTTTGTTATGACTGTCTCCAAAGCCCCTGATTTCTTGCCATTGATCTAATGCAGGCCCAGGCCCAGGGTCCTCCAGTGAGTTTTGCTTCACCATTATGCCCTAAATTTTTTTGCCTTCTGAAATTCCTGAGTCCAAGAAATAGTGCAGAGATGTCCAGACCTATAGCACCCAATAACTCTACTCTCTTTCAGAAACACAGTCCTAAAAGCCTGTTTTGGAGGAAAAATGAGAGTCAGAGTACCTATGGAGCCTTGGACCTTGGAGGGGCCTCCACACAAATTACCTTTGTGCCCGTGAACGAAACGCACACGTCTTCTGAAATGTTGAAGCACTTCCGCCTCTATGGGAGGAACTACACTGTGTTTACACACAGCTACTTGTGCTTTGGGAAAGATCAAGCACTTCTGTGGAAAATGGCCAGGAATGCTACGGCAAGTCTAATGAAACCCAGACCTGGCCCCCCAGGTCCGAGCTGCCAACTCCGATATCCTGTTTTCTCCCAGTCCGTAATTTGTCTGAAGTCGGTTGCTGTACTTTCTAAACCTCTTTCCTAGTCTGGTGCCAAGGAAAGTTGGGTATCATTTCTACATCATTTAGTCATGTGGTACTCATTAGAGTTCTTATTTCAGGCAGTGTATCTAACTACATCTGGTCAGCCCCTGTGAATTGTTCCATTCAGCCCTCACCTCCTGTGTTTGTTTACTGCACTATCTCCAAGGACACTACTCAAACCCTTTCTTAGAAAAGTACTTCTCGCTGTTACAGGATTGGCAATGAAAATCACATGCTAGAATATTGTTGTGGGGTGTATGCAATTGATAAAGCCTTCTCAATCATATTATAATCATCTCCATTCCCTACAAATTTCAGAAAGTGTTGTTAAAAACAACCTGGGGGAGAGGAGAAAAAACCCCTCAGATGCCGGAAGTACCCCAGGATGCATTCTGCATTTTGAAGACAAGAAAAATTAAACATGCTCAGCATTGTACACGTACCAAGTACTTGGACAAACACGAAGCAGGCTGACGCGTCCAAGTCTTCCTTGTCTTCACTGAAAGGCCAGCCGGTGAAGGCTCTCTTAGTTCGCGGAGTCACTGTCCTCAGATGACCACCATGGGTTTAGGGCTGCTGAGAGTTTCCCACAGAACCCCATGCTTCACTAAGCCTCTTCTCCACAGCAGCCCCCTTCTTCCATCTGTTGAACTGTGGGCTAAATGAATTGTGATATTCCTAGGCTAGATGAGCTAAGGCACCCTTCTCACATTTTGATCTGCAGTGGGTGGGGGGGGGG